ACAGCCGTGGTGAACCTGACCTCGTATCAACTTGCAGGCTGGACCACGACAAGACCATCCTAAGTCATGACTACGAGGTGTTGGGGCGTGCGGCGTTGCTGGCTCTTTTTCAGACCTGGCATTCTCTTGCCGGAGAGCCACAAAACCTTGCCGGGCCAGGTCATTTACAACGTTCCCTGTCTGGATGAGATGTTCAGCGGAGATGGCCCAAAGGTCAGGGAGCGAAACAAAACAAGTGCTTCACAGAAGGCTTGGTAGGGCACAGCGGCAGGATGAAGAAACGCTGAATGGAGTGCTCAATCACGGCCACGCAGCTGTCATCTCCTCATTCCAGTTGGTCAGAGGGTTTATGCAGATGTTTGCAACGAGGCTCTTTGATCATGTTGTACGTTGTCAGGTCTGGTACGCTCTGAACTCCGACATGCGGCTGAAGTTCCGTCGGAATGCCTTTGGAGCTGCCAGGGTCCCTGCGATATCAGCGATGAGTTTACATGGACCGGTATGCGTAGTTCCCCATAGTTTCCTCCTCCTGAAGCAGTTGCGTTAATGGTACGTAGGTGACGCTAGGTGACTGATGTTATGCTGGTGTCTGACTCAGTCTGCGGATGGCAGCTGGGCACGTCGACCGAGACTTCTCATGGCTGCAGGACCGCAAGTTTGTTTGCATCTGCTCTTGAGTCTTCGTGTCATGTAAAATTATACTAGCTGCAGGCTACACGACCGCCACGGTGACAGGGGGCTACCTGGCAAAGAGGGAAGGGACAAAATGGTGCGACCCGGCACGTTTCGTCTAAAGGCAGCCTCCAAGGGTGCTTCACAGCCAGGCCTGTGTCTGAACAAAGGCCTGTTACGCACGGTCCTGATGACCTGTGCTGCGCGCCCATTTTTTTCCAGCCTCCACGGACAGGTGTTTCCTCGAGCAAACAACCTTTTGAAGGAAAGTCCTGTTCAGCTTTGCCTCTCAGCTGGTGCTAGTTTTCTTGAGCTTTTTTGCTTTTGCCGCTACTCTTGCAACAGCACGTGCCAGCATTTTACCTAGTGCTTTTTTTGGATTGGTGGGCATCATGACGTGGTGGAAAACTGTCATTATCTCCTGCTGTTTCCATGACCTGGATACTCTGGTTCTCTCACGCATGCCTTTCTGACGTGCAGTTGCCACAATCTTATGGCCATGGCAGAGTCCAGGCATTGCAATTCTCAGGATATCGGTTTTTGTGTTCGCGGCCATCGCATTGTCTAGATCATGGTGGCCGGCCATGTCAAATCTTTGCACTGGGTTCACTTACAGTATTGGAAGCCACCAGAAAACTCGCTAGTCAGCATTCCACAAGGTCGAAGCTAGGGCTTAACAAGAAGCAACGATTACTGCAGCTGCTGTTTTGCCATCATGTGATTCTCGAACATCGTGGCAGGTATGCAGAGCCGCTCACCGCAGGGAAGGACGGGAAGGAGGAAAGTTTCTCAGACGCTTTAAGAGAGGACGGAGCTATGAGCATGGTGTCTCAGGCAACCTATAAGATCAGGCTCGACCTCCTGGGCCTGAGGCCGCATTGTCCTGACCATCAGACATCAGACTAGCTGATTCGTGAAATCTCGAAGTGCAGGTACCTCCCATCTTGGAGGACCAACGAGGATGTGCAGCTCGAAGTCATGTGCGCCAGTCATGGAGTCTTCACTCTGTAAACAATTGGGGATTTTTCCCCAATTGTTTAATACTTGCTAGTCTAGAAGCAGACGGAAGAGATTTCTGCATCACGTGCTGTGCAAGAGGCCATTCTGGAAGGCGAAAGGCAAGCGCAAGCAGAAGAAGATCCTGCGCTTGAACTCCGACACTGTCAGGCTTGCAAGGGAAACACAAGGAATGTAGTCTGCAGAAGTTCTGTAGCGCTGTTGCGCATGAATCGTCTGCAGGTTCCTTGGGCAAGCTGCCGACCAGAATCCCAGCTTTTGCATGATTGAGGAGGCCTGATGCAGCACCAAGACACCGCCAGGCAGGCATAGAGTCGCCAGGACAGGGACAAAGATGGTGAGGAATACTGCAAGAGCATGGAAAGGTTGATTATCTTCGAGGTTGGGGACATTGCACGGATGTCTGCACTTGCCATGCTCATTCCTGGATGTCTGGCAAAGGAAAGAGTATTTCTGACACGGATTTTGTATTGAGCCTGAAACTTCTTTTGCCATTTGGGATCAACTGAGTTTTGTGTTTGTATCTAGACTCTCCTCGGCCCTCGCGATGTGCAGATCTGAGCTTGTGTTCTGCTTCAGAAGCTGCACGGACTATGTTGTGTACTTCCTTCCAGCATTCATGAGATCAGGCCGCAGACTTGCAAAAATGGCAGAGGTAAGTCCTCTTCCTGGAGACCTGATGCTGCTGCTTATGCTAAACATGCAGCAAGCTTTCTCTTCCTGTATTGCGTGTAGTTTTTCTAAAGCGTGCCCTGGAGATGCCCGAAGCGGAGTCTCTTATGTTGAGACCTTGCTTTGCCACCTTTTTGTTTACCTGACTTCAGCTTCACTCCTTTTCAGCTTCTCAAGGCTGCCGCAATGATTGGCTGCGCTCTAGCAACCGTCTCCACAGTAAGAGCCACAGATGCTGCCTGGATGCATGATTTCCTTCTTCTTTCCTTTTGTAGATCCCCAAGGCCTGAGCTTAGCAGCAGGGTCTTTTTTGAAAGTCTTTTTTTGCAAAATCTGAGAGGATCGTGCTTTTCTGGTGCCTGGCCGAGCTGCCATGGGACGACCAGCTGCTCAGACAGAAAGAGTGAAAGAGGCTGCTTGAGGTTGAGGTTTCGAGGTCTTTATTTGTTTTTGGCACTTTTCACTGCTGCCACGGCTTAGGCTTTGGCCGCACATTCAAGCCAACCGGTGCCCTGGCTTCTAAGCACAGGTATAGACTGAGTGTGCCAAGGGCATATCAAGTGCAGAAAGCAAAACCTAGGTCTAGAAGAAGCAGCAGCAAGTTAAGATGTTGCTGAACGGAGACAGGGACTTGCATGCTTCTGAGTGACCACCCAAGTCCACAAAGAGGCCAATATGGCTATTGCTAGGTGATAGTGGATTTCAACACCCTTTACCTAAAACTCCTTCACGCAGAACAGCAGAGCAAACAAGATATCCAACTGTGGAAGTTTACAAGCTACTGCTTGGTAAAGCCTGGGTAGAAATAGGGAACATCATAGCTGAAGCCTCCGCTGTCAATACCGTATAATCTCAACGTTGATCAAGACCACTGGTGCTGCGCCTCCTCGGGGTGGTCTTGATAACTGTACTTCCCTTCCAACACATTTGGCTGGGTTTAGAGGTGTTTTTTGGGCCTGAAATCCGGAGTCTGTCAAACAGTTCCTTAATAATGACAGCGCTTTGCAGCTTCATCGAACTCGAACCATGGAAGTGAAAGAAAGATGCGTACAGCGGTATCACGGATCTTAACATCTTGGTTATCTGGTTGCAAGGGAATGGATGCATTGTTATCATGGATGTTAACACCTTTTTCATGTCGTTTGAACACCATAGCAAAAACACAAAAAAATCTAGCAAATGCCCAGGAGGTGACCATGCTTTTACCATGTTTAAGCTAGCATGTGCTGAACACCCAGATAGACACGAAAACCACGCTGTTAACGCTTTTGGAGACGCTGACCACCAAAAAGCGGAAATGTGTCATAGCAAACATGCGATGTCTGATGTCCGTCAACAATGCGACAGATAGCGCATGCTCAGAAAGGTCTGTAGCTACAAATTGTCGGGCGTTCTGCAAAACGAGCCTGCTCATGTTGCTTAGCGAATTGCTTGTTAAACAACTGACGACCGCGAGAACTTGCGGCAGCCTGTGAAAGACCGGAAGCAGAATGCTGAGGTTGGGGCACAACTACTGGTGCCGTTGATGATGATACGATGTTTTCCACTGGCAATGGTGCTTGAGCACTACTTGGTACGCTGAGAGAAAGCTTTCAAAACGTGGCAAGCGCAGCGCTTTTGAAGGCTCGGGGCTCCGCACGGACCCCTGTATTCAGGAAAAACACCCTTTTTCTGGCCTGGAAACTGGCAGTGTGCAGAGATTCTGCATTGCGAAAACTGTGAGTCCTATACTCGATTATTATGGGCATATGAAACCCTTAAAAACCTCCCAGCCCAAATGCTGAAAATCCTAAACCCTAAACCCCGAAAACCCGAAACGCCGCCAAACCATAAAAAGCACTAAAAAAACTCAAATCCTAAAACCATCAAACCCTGAACCCTTGAAGTCTTAAGCCCTAAAAAGCCCAAACCCTGAAAACACTAAACTCTAACAACCCTACAAGCCCTAAACCCTCAGAACCCTAAACNNCTAAACCCTTAAAACCCTACACCCTCAAGTCCCTAACCACTCTCTAAAACGCTGCAAACCCTCAAGCTTGAAAAGCCCTAAACCCTCACAGACCTTCTGGCAGAGCAGGCAAGAAGTAAGAGTGGGCAAAGTGTGCCCCTAGCGACGACGACGACGACGACGACGACGATGACGACGATGACGACGACGACGACGACGACGACGACGACGACGACGACTACTACTACTACTACTACTACGACTACTTCCGCTACTACTGCGA